AGAACTATTGCATATGATGTACCTATCCAACCAGTAGACAACAATGAAGATTTGAATGATCAAGTTGTGGTTTCATTCAGAACTCAAGTCAAGGAAGTTATAAATCCAGTTGATATTTTAAAATTTCTAGAGTTGGACTTTAGTGAACGTAATTCAACTATATGTGGTTATTCACGCGAAGATGAACAATTTTTAGATAAAATGTCTCGTTCTATTCATTTAACTGAAGATAATCATTATGAAATGGCATTGCCATTCAAGGGAGATAAGCCAAACTTGCTGAATAATCGTCATGTTGCTATTAAACGTTTTTCGAATTTATGGAGTCGTTTAGAAAGAGATTCTGTGTTGAAGTCAGATTATACTAAGTTTATGAACAATATAATTAATAGAGGTTATGCAGAATTAGTGCCTACGTCTGAAATGAATCTAAATGATGGACACACATGGTATATTCCGCATCATTCTGTATATCACCCAAAAAAGCCTGATAAAATATGTGTTGTGTTTGACTGTAACGCAAAGTTCAATGACATTTCCCTTAACGATTGTTTATTGAAAGGACCTGATCTAACGAATACTTTATTAGGAGTTTTATGCCGTTTTAGAACTGACAAGATAGCAATATTATGTGACATAGAACAAATAGTTTATCAATTTAAAGTGAATGTCGAAGATCGCAACTTTCTGAGATTTATATGGCAGAACGATGGGGATAAACAACCGTCAGATTATCGTATGAACGTTCATCTTTTTGGAGCAGGATCGTCTCCAGGATGCGCAAATTTCGGACTTAAACATGCTGCAACAGAATTTGAGATAGAATTTGGCAGTGGCGCAGCGAACTTTGTTAGATCAGATATTGAAGCTATTTCGTTGATTCAACAGACTTGTGAATTACTTTCTAAATGCGGTTTACGTCTTCACAAGTTTGTGTCGAACTCTAATACAGTTATTAATAGCATACCTAAAGAAGATAGAGCTACTGATTTACAAGGACTTGATTTATTTTATGAAGATTTACCTGTAGAGCGTGCTTTAGGTGTGCAGTGGAACGTTGAATCGGACAGTTTTCAATTTAGTATATCTCTAAAGGATCATTATCTTACTCGTCGAGGAATTTTATCGACCATTTGTTCAATTTATGATCCGCTCGGACTCATTGCTCCAGTAATTTTAGTTGGAAAGCAGATACTTCAAGAGCTATGCAGACTACGATTGGATTGGGACAGCGAAATTCCAGATTCGTTACGCATGCGCTGGGAACGTTGGAGAATTAACTTAGTTGATTTGAGTTACCAGTGAGCTACATAATTTTTCTGACGCCAGCATTTATGGTTATAGTCAGTGTTTTTACTTACGTTTGATTGATGATCATCAGAAAGTATTTTGTTCCTTAGTGATGGGAAAATCACGTGTAACTCCCTTAAGGCCTATTACGATACCTCGTCTTGAATTGACAGCTGCTGTGGTCTCTGTCAAGGTTGGACTACAGATTAAACGTGAATTAGAAAATAGTGGATCTCAAAGAATTTTATTGGACAGATAGTAAAGTCGTATTGGGCTATTTAAACAAAGACGCCCGAAGATTTCAGATGTTTGTAGCAAACCGGATTCAACAAATACACGAATCTACAGAACCTAAACAATGGTCTCACGTTATTTCCAGCGCTAATCCTGCAGATGTTGGATCCCGTGGATGCTTTGCCAGTGAATTAATTGATTCGAAATGGCTATTCGGACCAGATTTTTTATGGCAGTTCAATATTCCTAGAACTTCAGATGTTGAGCTTACTTTGTCTTCGGAACATCCAGAAGTTAAGAAAGGGCAATCTTTTGCTGTGAATATGAAATTATGTTTTGAACTTTCTAGACTGAATCATATTTCAGATTGGTTTAGAGCAAAGAAAGCTATAGCATTGTGTTTGCATCTTAAACAATTATATAAGCGAGGTCAACATGTTAACGATACTAATGCCACGAGCACTATTAGTAAACAACCTAACAGAACACTTAGTAAACCTTATTCAATTGAAGAATTGAGAAAAGCTGAACTTTTTATCGTCAAGCTAGTACAAGTTTAAATTATTATCTGAGGATAAACCTGATAGTATTGTAATTAAGAGATCCCTGTTATATCGTTTAGACCCCTTTGTTAATGAAGATGGTATACTTTGTGTTGGTGGACGTTTAAAGAGAGCATCGTCTGATATTTGTAAACATCCAGTGATTCTACCTAAGAAGCACCATATCACTGAGTTGATTGTACACTACTTCCATGAACATTCACATCACCAAAGACGTGGTATTACAACCAATGATATTCGTACAAATGGTTATTGGATTGTTGGATGCAATGGTGTTGTATCGTCTTATATCTCAAAGTGCGCAAGTTGCAGACGATTACGCGGTAGATGTCAAGAGCAGCGTATGGCTGATTTACCAGAAGACAGGTTGGAACCAACTCCGCCTTTTACCTACTGTGGTATGGATTGTTTTGGACCATGGTATATACGAGATGGTCGCAAAGAACTGAAACGATATGGACTTTTATTTGTGTGTATGGCCAGTCGCGCCATTCACATAGAGACACTTAACGATATGAGTACTGATTCTTTCTTAAGAAGATTTCTTTGTATTAGAGGTCCCATTCGGCAACTTAGATGTGATAATGGTACTAATTTTATTGGTGGCAGACGTGAATTACATGAGACATTTAAAGGGCTTGATAGCCACCGTATTCAAGGTTTCTTATTAGAGAAAGGTTGTGATTACTTTGATTTTAAATTTAATGTTCCTTTCGCTAGTTATATGGGCGGGATATGGGAACAACAAATTCGTTCAGTGCGTAATTTTATTTTGCCACTTTTACTTCAGACTGGATGTCAACTTGATGACGAATCATTGAGAACTCTTATGTGTGAAGCTGCAGCTATAGTTAATAGCAGACCTCTTACGACTAGCAATCTGAATGATGTTAATTCCTTAGAACCGTTATGTCCGAATAATTTGTTAACCATGAAGTCAAAAGTTAATTTTGCCGCCTCCAGGAGATTTTCAAAAGGCTGATGTATATTCGAAAAAGAGATGGAGACGTGTTCAATATGTTGCGAATGAATTTTGGAATCGCTGGCGGAAAGAGTGTATACATGATTTACAGATTCGTTCCAAGTGGAATAAAACATTTCGGGACATGCAAGTGAACGATGTTGTATTAATTATGGACGATAGTTGTCCACGTAATCATTGGTCATTAGGTCGTATCATTGAAGTTTATCCAGATAATGATAATCATGTTAGAAAGGTTAAACTTATTGTAGGTGATAAGAATTTAAGTAATAAAGGTAAATGTGTTAATCAGATCAATTATTTAATAAGACCCATTCATAAATTGGTCTTGTTAGTTGAAGATGAGGAGACCGGGTTTCCCCATCGAGGAGCCATTAATTAAGGTTTTATATTGAAGTCATTCGTAAAGCTTTTTATATTTCAAGTTACGATTATATATTTGAATTATTTTGTTTATTAAGCTTTGATGAAAATTATTTGTTATAATTTTGAGGAGCCATGCATGTAACTGCTGTAGATTTATATATGTATTAGATTAGAATGGTGAGCCGAATGTCTGTATTTGAGAGACTTGGTACGCAAGTCTATGTGTTTGCTCAAAGTTGGAGTATTCATTGTTTAATTTAGAATTAATTACCGTTCTACTTTATATCTAATTAATATTACTTTGTTACGTATATATACCTTTTGTAATAGGTTATTATATTTCATTAAGTATGAATTAGGTCATTTATTACTTATTTAAGCTGATTTGGTAAGCTCTAGCATATCAAGGATTACTCCAGCGCACAACTTTTTTCCCGGGCAAAAATGGAGGAGCCATAGAATTTTTGTGCGTGATAAAGTTAGAGTTTTCACGGTGACATTATTAAATATGACTGTTTTAACTAGTTTGCATTGATCTAGTTTGCATGTGGTTGCCACTTAGCATTTAGTGTTTAAGTTTATGCCGGCCGACTAACGGTTCAAAATATTTCTTTGGTCCGGTGACGTCAATATGTTTCTGTTGGACTCATAATTGCATTATGATGATGTGACGATATCAGCGGTAAACGTATCTTATTTTAGACCCTGAGTATTTATTGCAATTACTTTGTTCTAACAGTCACATACGTTTGTTATTTATGACGTCTACATAATTTCTGATGTGACGGTTGATTCACAGATGTGGTAGAAATCTAAGTATCTAAGTAATACCTATCCGGTAGTGATTAGTATTTGAGCATTTAAGATGAAGGTTACATAAGCTTCAAGTATTTTAGTACTTAAAAAGAACAGATATGATGTAAACTTTATATGTATCCAGTTTGAACAGTTACTTTTAATAAATTTGTCAGCAGTAATAAAACTCGACTTATCAACTTATTTATCCTGTGAACCTGATATGTAAATTCTAACCGCCCACACCTAGACCTCCCTCCTCCATTCCGATTTTGTGCCATAAAAGAGGTGTCGGCAGTTATACAATGATTAAGTACAAGTCAACGTTCGAGAATATCACATTTTATGGTATTCTCGAACAATGATTTACTCACTGATTAGGCTAATCAAAGTTTATAAAAAATCTTAGCTTAAAATTTAATCAGTTTTTCAGAATATGGCTGGTCAGAAAATCAGAGATTAAATCTATGATTAGCACTAATCCACTTTCGAAAATACGGGCCGAAGAGACAAATTAGCGTTTTGGAGATCTTTTGATGACCTGACTGTGTAATTATATCCGGGATGTTCACACAGATCATATGCAAAATTTAAGATTGATCTGCCAATTAATCACTGAGATAGACGATTATCATATACAGTTGTTTTCAAGAAGTTCCATAAATGCTCATGTAAAACACTTTGCTTCTAAGTTTTGATTTAAAAAAGTAAGTCTTAGCTCAGGTTATTTAAATATCTTATTATCTAAGCTTTTAAACAATTTTAATTACCTGCTGTTCCAAAAGATGGAGAAAATTCACAACATGTAACTCCTAAATCATGACCATCCAATTCAAATGATAAACAACGACCATGTCCAAATCTAGCATCCCAAGTTCTAATATCTCCGTTACCACTACCAGATACTATATAATTATTATCAGGACTAAAAGCTAATGCCATGGCAGATTCATCATGACCTTGAAGAGTCCTAAAAAAAAAATCATTCTATTTTAACAGTCATTACAAAGCCATCTTAGAATTGTGACATCATATCAATAATCAAAATCTGTCAATCAATGCACAATTGTCAAAGGAACACGCATGCCAAGTTTCATGTCGAACGTACTTAAATTGGCAGAGCCTTGAGTTTTTTTCAAAGAGTGTCGCCCCCAAGAACAACAAGTCTTGAATGGGCTTGGCATGATGTTTTATTTTAATACAGAGGAGATATTCCTTTGAAAGGTAAACAGGCAATCTGACAAGAAGTCATATGACTATACAGCAATTTAGGTCAATGTTCCCTCTGGGTGGTTGAGGTTTCCCTCCTTCTGTTATGTTTTTCACTTGTTTTACCTGGTTGGCAAATTATTTAATAATCGATAATGGTTTCATTTTTTATCAATAAAAACAACTGGTTTAGTCACAGTTCAAATAAAAGAATGATGTCATAATGAAATCATGTGAGCAAAAAATGTCAACTCATGAAATACTGAAGAGGTTAACATGTTCTATACAGTTAAATTTGAATTTGTTTTGGTCTAAATTGTCCACTGCAGTCGAAGTATTAAAATAGTTGATAGCCTAAAAGGTTCAAAATAAAAACTAAATAACACACCTTATTAGTTTTTTCTTAGCAACATCCCATAAGCACAAGGCATTATCATCACCTCCAGATGCAACTATTGTTGCATTTGGTGAAAATCGACAAACACGTATTGCACATTTACTAGGATGTTCAAAAATGGCTTTCTGCTCTCCTGTCTTCGAGTCCCAAATAATCAGTCTGCCATCTGTGGAACATGAGGCAAATACAGTACCTGTTTTATCAAATACACAACAGTTAACAACATATGTATGACTCAACAGTGGTGAACATGGAGTCTCTGAAAAATCATCAATATTCCACAGACGTACTGTTTTATCTCCTGAACATGTCACAAGTTCTTTCTCACCAAAACTTAAAGATGTTACATCTGATGAATGGGCATTCAATGTTTGTAAAAGACTGGCAACCATATTGGACATTTTATCTGAAATAAAATTAGTAAACAAATTCAGTGTGTGTATAAAATAATGACAAAGGATTAAAGAACCCAAAACGAAAATTCCCTATTTTATGGCTTAATATTTGACCATGTACTCCTACTCCAATGTGTCAACAAAACAAGCGTATGCCATGCAAGACACGCCTACATTTTGAAAGAGATGGACGGATAACAGGGAAAATCAACAGGGCTATTGTGTCAATGCTTCACATCGAATTTGAAAAAATCACTTGTTTCCGATAATGTAATATTTTAGTTTCTTTTCAAATGGTGAATGTTGCCACTGCCTTACTTCCGTTCTACTTGCAGCATTATACCCGACGTTAAGTAGCCGACAATGTATACAATTCTCACTAGACAATATATATTATGAACCAATTCCTCACAAATGTTAAGGCTATGGTCGTGTTGTCGCATGCATCCGCACACAGGTTAATATTCCCCATTCTACAGCTGTGTATTAACAAAACAACTCACAGTGAATATACATGATATAACCCTCATGTTTGTGTTTCAATAGTAGGCCTAGTTATCATAAACACAAATAAAAATTTGTTTGTTCTGTAATACAAGTGTGTTTCCTAAATAATTCAATGTGGATTAACAACCCATGTAGTATTACAAAAAGATGTTGAGATTTGATGTGCACCAAAATCGAACACATTCAAGTTCTTGTGATCTAGCTGGGTGATATTTTGGTTATAACCAGTATGAAAATTCTAGTAATGAATATATTGGCATTATCGTCACTAATATTGCATTAAAAAAATATCGCAGTGTTTAAATTACTGACCTGCAAATTACTATAGACATGATGCAAATTAATCTTTCTAAGAAGTACACGATAGCAAAAATAAGCCGTGGGGCAAATAACCGGTAAAGCTTTAGTTGCTCTTTGGAAAATGCAATGACTTCTTAAGATAAACAAAACGAAGTTCAAGAAATGAATCAATATCCTGACGACAAAACGTCAGTTTCAATAAACTTTCAACTCAACCTGACCCCAACCCATTACCTCAACGCTAACTTGTTTCAAAGAGAAATAATACGAGCGATGTGTGGTTGTATTTCAGGTACGACTAATCCGACGAACAGCAGACGACTATTGGAACACTATCTTAGTGATAACAGAGATCAGTTTCGTAAATTATTATTTATGATTTATTTACATCAGGAACATAATATAAAACAGATCCTGCCTTTCTTCATCACTATAACATACAGTGGAAGTACTTTAAATATTTTAAATAGTGAGCCTTCAGGGGACTATTGATCATTTGTGCAGTCATTGTTCTAAGGGTTTTTCGTATATCGAAATGAAATGGGGTTTAACGTCCTACTGTTCTGCTCCTATACTGGGCTAATGAACACGGGCATACGCCATACAGTGTACTATGAGGGAAATTTTGCCTGGGCAGCGGCACTATCGCCTACTCTTATATCGAATTCCAACTGCCAAGGGATCTTTTACGTGTATTCTAATGTATACATGGGACCTCGGTTTTTCGTCTCATCCGAAAGACTAGACAGCTGTCCTTGTCAGGCCCTTCGTTCTGCACCACTGACAAGGGGAAACCACATCGGAAAATCTGGATGAACTTTCTCGGCCAATGCAGGGATCGAACACCCGACCTCCAGGCTAGCGAGCCAGCGTCTTAACCACCTAGCCACCGTGGCTCCATTTTCGTATATCAGTAGAAACATACGCATCAACATGCACATATCAAATATTTTTTGTTATAATACCAAGCAAATCTCATCTTTCTTGGGATGTTGTCATTATTAAAACCTCATCAAATCGTTGTAAATACTCCACAACAATCTATTCATTTAATCATTTGTGTTTATTTCAGTGAAAGGGGTCGTTGATAACATTTTATCAAATTTCATTTTCTTTCAACATTTGTCATTATTAAAACCGACTAATCATTGTATATACTTCACAACAACTTATCCATTAATCAATTAGTCAATTTTCAGGTGAATTGGTACTATTGAATAACTTTATAATCCTTAATTAAATTAAATTAGATTACCTTTAGGTACACATAATTTAGGGAGATCTCTGGTTTGTCAGCATTAACTAAGTATTGTTGTGTACATGTAAATATTGGCCCGTCATATTTTCATTTTTTATCATAGCTCGAAACGTCGCTCAGTAATAAGCAGTAATTGTATTCCATAGAATTGTGACTTTATTATTGTAATCTATACTATGCTTGTATCCATATGTAAGCAGCTATGATATATAAAACGTAAAAATGAACAAACGTCTTAAGGAAAACAGTAAGAAGTAAATACACAGCGTGAAGCAGACAGCTAGAGACAAATTCTAGACGATCAAGAGGCTACTAAGAAGAAAAGATGCGTGGGTCGTACGTAGGATGTGGCGACCGGTTTTGCGACGCCCGCTCTCCACGTCTGACAGAAGATCCATGGTACTACATATTCTATTTGGTGTCCGTGACCAGAATCGACCTTCAAGGGAATCTAGAAGAATACATATTTGATTTGGTGCACGTGACTACGAGATCAAGTACCCTGGAAGACATTTGGAAGAAGATTACATATTCTGTTTGGTGCTGTACCTCAGTTTCGACCTTTAGGGTAAGCAGCAACTTTGGAAGAAGAAAACCCTACAAACCAGCAACAAGAAAAATTCTGGTGGAAAAGAGAATTCTGGTGGAAAAAAAGAAATCTGCTGAAAGAAAAATTTTGGTGGAAATATTCGCAGAATTGGGTAAATACATTTTGTCTGGAAAATTTAATTTGTTAACAGACCAGATAATAGCAAGATAAGATTAAAATACAATAAATGTTAAAATGCAACTGTGTAGAGAATAAAATAGTCATATTTTGATAGGTTTATAAACAATATAATATCATTAGTTAGGTATGTATATTATCAGGTTAACATGACATGCTACTGACGCTACACCACCCAAACAAGCAAAATTACAAGCTTCGCCGTCTTCATCTCGCAGTGAGTCCCAGTCGGAAAAAAATGTTTAAAATATCTTTTATTATTATTATAGGACGACAAGTTGAAGAGTTATGTATGTTAACAATATAATTTAGCTATATCATACGACAAATTATTCTAATCTTCAGACTTGGCAACTGAAAATTTTGTTTGGCTAGTGGTTTTGAAAATTTACTTATGTTTGCACAAGTAAGTTCAAAATGCTGTGTAGAGCCTTGAGTGCAAGTATAGTAAATTTGAGTAATAAAATTGAAATTAAAGCGGGTCTCTAAGGAGTAGGTTTTAACAAATTTTCATTATAACTAAGGAATAATAATAAGAAACGGAATAGGGAATAAAATAAGGAATTAATGTTGTCTCTGGATCAAAGTGGGAAGATGGCAGAGCTAAGGATCGAGTTGGCCGTGTTTTCTGCTTTGATTCGTTAAAATGTGTGTGTTTTTGTGTCGTTCTTATATGTAGTTAGCTAATTAAAGCTATAATATAGTTTTGAGACTCTTAGTCCAAGTTTCAAAATTATGGTTTTAGTCGATTAAAGACTAAATTGGGTAATTTAGCCTTTGAATAAAAGGTTTAATTGCTATTATTTGTGTTTTTGTGTCGTCCACGTGTTCAGGTATGTAATTTTGAGACCCTTAGTCCAAGTTTCAAAGTTGTGGTAATTTATCTTTTGATTAAAAAGTTGGGTTGTGTTAAAATCCCATGTGGTTACATTTAGGGATTTAGGTATAGTTTTTTCAGGGAAAACTAAAATTAACGGCTCGTTAAATTGTGAGATTATCGCAAAGTCATTAATACGAGTTTAGTACGAGGTTAAGGTAAGAATAGGACACTTTTTAGAAAAGTGTGTTAGATTATACGGTATATTTTATCCGTATATAATTTTGTGTAATTAAATTTTGCTTTAGACACGTAATATAAACAGTAAATATATATGTGCTAAATGCTATTTTGTGTCATTTATTAAATTTTGCTTTAAATTGTGCATGCGAGGTGATTACCAATGAGTAATTTGACATGTCACATTGTACTTTTATCTCTGGTTATTATAAACAATAGTTTTCACACTGTGTTAAATTTGAAGTGTGTGAAAGTCACATGACTTCAGTGATGAGTTGAATGAAATTATATGTGTAATTACAAGCTAGGTATATTCTGATTGTCGTGTTTGGGGGGAATATTGCGCAACAATTTCCTTCAACAAAGTTCTATTTTAAATAATGTTATGTCACACTAATGTTGGAATAGGCTAAGGATCCGGGCTTGTTTGAGACATTCAGTGGTGTATGATAACAGTACGAGTATATTTGTTTTGGTTGACATGTAAAAAACGGAAGTTAAAATTGTAAATGATTGGGTCAAAAAGGTCACATTACTGACGGTGAAATATAAAATAATAATGTAATTGTTTGGCGGAATTCTAAAACACAGACAGAAATTATAAAATTCTAAAATTGTCCATTACCGAGTTCAGGTCAAGAGGTCAAAGTTAGTTTGAAGCAGTGATGGGATTTTGCCCGTATATTCCGGACCTGTCCAAATCTTTTTTCCAAACGCCCAAAATTGTCCGACCGGGAATATGCCCAATCGGACATCGAGACATGGTGAATAATATTCAGAATTCCGAAATTAATATAGTTTACTGAGTGTATAACTACCACTCAACCCGATTATCGTCGATAATACGCTGGGTTTATTAGGTAAATAAGTGATCAACGTATTTATCGTGTTATACCGTCTATAGTATAAACCTACCTTGATTAACTACTTAATCTGCCTTGATTGACTGACTTAATCCTTTGTCGGACAATTCATCAATCTAATCTTAAACAGAAGTCATTGCTTTCCTTTTGTCGGACTATTCATCAATTCAATAAGAATGATTATAATTTTAATCCACCTGTTTACCTCGTGGTTTCTCAATTGTCGGGCATCTTAATCGCATTGATGTGAGCGGACAGCATCTATAATAAACTAATCATAGATGTCACATATCGTAAGA